TTGAGATTGGGCGCTCAGTATTTGAAGCCAGCGATGACGTGGTAGCCATCCGTTGAACGGACGCTGGCAGGGTGCGTCCAGTCGATTCTACCGACGGGCCCGGTCACCTCGAGTTGTGCCCAGTGAAAAGGTACAACGGTTCTTTTCGTGTGGGGGCTTATAAATAGCCCTTTGGTCGGCCTTTGGCCGAGAGCTAAGCAAAGCTAAGCACACTAGAGCCTTGGTGGCTTATGTGGTAGGGCTTGGGAGCCCTCTAACTCACTTGAGCTTGATAGTATTCATCCGATCGAGTGAGTGAGCGATTCTAGTGTGATTGCATCGTGAGGTTGCATCGAGTGGCACTAGGTGGTTGTCTTACAAGCCGGTGGTGTTTGTTACTCTTGGAGGTGGCCACCTCCTAGACGGCTTGGTGGTGGTCTCCGTCGAAGCCCGCAAGAGGCTTGTGCGGTGCTCCAGAGAAGTGATTGTGAGGGGGATTGTGCTCACCCCGCGGGAGCCGCGAAGAGCAACTCTAGTAAAGCGAGACGCGAAGAGCGACAAGTGGTCCGGCAGGGTCAAGTGCTAGAGCTTGTGGTAAGCACTCCACGTGGGAGAGTGTGACTTGCGGGTCACCACTAGCAAGAGGACCGGCGACAACCTTGAAGCTTGTCTCAACGGGGACTAGCGTGTTGACAAGCACGTGAACCTCGGGATAAAAATTATCGTGTCATCCTTTTATTCCTGTTGGTTTGCATCCTCATTATACAAGCTTGTATTTACTTCATATACATTGTGCTTGTGTAGTTGCTCTTATAATTAGTTAGCTTGTGTAGCTCACTAGTTACGTTCTTGCTTGTGTAGCATAGAAGTAGTTCACTTGCATGGCTAATTTGGTTTGTGTAACCTTGTTAGTCAAATTACTTAGTTTGTGCAGCTAAGTATTTGCGCTCTCTAATTTAGCATTGGTTGCCTTGTTATTGAGCATTGCTAGTGAGCTTGGGAGTTGTGCTTTTGCTTACTAGAATTATGTGGGAGCTTCGTGGTGTGTAAATACTAGTGGCATAGATTTGTGTGATCTTACTCCTAAAATTGGATATGTGAGATCTAACTAGCTTGGCACCTTAGTTGCTTAATTAGGATGTTTGCAAGGTGCTAAAGAACATAGATAGAGAGATGTAGTCTTGGCTAGACCGATAGTTTTAATTCCGCACTTGTTTCGGTTAGCTAGCGTGACTAAGTTTTAGAAAGGACTATTTACCCCCCTCTAGTCCGCCATCTCGACCTTACACCGGAGCGAGATCATGGAGTCGAGGATGGCGACGTCGCGGTATCTAGAGCTGTGGTGGTTGCAGATCTAGATCTGGAGATGCCGTCGCGAGAAAGAGCTATCGGCTGAGATGGGCCCTGAAAATTGGTATTGGGCTCAACCTATTAATAGAGATGGATCTCTTAAGAGGCCCAGCTCTGTTAATCGATTTTATGGAGATGGTTTTTTTTTCTGCCTCCTAAAATGGGTTAGGTGTCTTCGAAAAGGCCTACACATTTTAGGAGACATAAAAATTTCTTGTCCGCCTATGAAAATAAAAATGGCCTATATCCTAAAATCAGTTTTGTAGTAGTGTTGTGATTTTCAGTTACATGAACAAGCACATCTTAGCTTTCTCTCATTTTCATCTGACCTAATTAAGCATTTTACGACATTGGTGCTTTCATTCTTCACGAGCATTTAGTTTTCCATACAGATGACAGTAGTCGTAAGAATTAGGCTTATCCGCACATGTTTAATTTCATTGTCAACAAAGAAACTGAAGTATTTTATTCTAATTTTGTCTTTTACATGCTCACTTCTTCAGTTAAACTGGAAAGTCACAGCTAGACGCAGGGAGCTTTACATCATCATTAACATTCTGTCAAGGATGCTTACCTTCGCAATTAAATGGACCGCATAGCTAGGTGCAGGAAGCTTCACAACAGTGTCCTTATTTTGTCTATCGCCTTTTGCCTCTCGTCTCGGTGGTGACAGTAGCGATGTCTGCGCGTGACTCTCCTTACCGCCATGCCCAGTCCATCTTGTTCCTCTGCTTTCGAGGATACTCCTATGTAGTACCAAAAGTATATATATGGAGGGGTGTGTGTGGAGAATGATTGGAGCTGATCCAGGAATTTATATAGATGGCAGAGCCTTCGCTTGGACACTACAAGGCTACCCTGGTGTACGCAAGACTTGACTGTGATGGCTCCGAGGATCATGCTCAAGAAGAGGAACCAATCTGCCATGGCAATCGGTGTAGTCTTTAGAATTAGGCACATCCGCACATGTTTAGTTTCACAGTCAACATAAAAAATTTAACTTTAATTCTTTCTGAACAGTATGACCACCAGGGCTTCGGTCGTTGGCTTCCCTGTCATCAATTCACCAACTTCCTTGACCTTCCGGCACTGAGCAGGCGTCAGCCCCGTCTTACGACTATGTGGATACCTGTATTTTTTGTGAATTGTTGTCCGGCCCTGGTCACTGTAACCCCCTTTTGCGAGGGAGCACCCTTCTCCCAAAGTTACGGAGCAATTTTGCCGAGTTCGTTAGAGTGAGTTGTCTCTTCTACCTACCCATCAGTGTCGGTTTCGGATACAGGTACCCTTTTGTTGAAGGGGAATGCCTCCTCCTGTGAGAATAGCCAGTGGTAAACAACCATATTTGTTTACCACCGATCTTGAGCAACGTGGTGCAGGTTAAAAGATCGTTTATGCCACCATATACTTAAAAGTGTAGTCTACAACTTTAAATCTTTATTTTTAATAAAATAAAATACAAGAGTTAATAAAAGAGCAACTAATATAAGTTCAAATTTGAAAATCTAGATACCTCCACTGGAACACGTGCGAGTACAACCCTCTAATAAGTACTCAATCCATCCTAAATTGTAAGACGTTTGACTTTTTTGATACCAGGTTTGACCACTCGTCTTATTCAAAAATTTGTGTAAAATATCACTTCTTTCGTCGTGGTTTGGTTTATTAATAAAAATTCTTCAAGAATGACTTAAATTTGACTATATTTGCACAAATTTTTTGACTAAGACGAGTGGTCAAACTTGAGGCCAAAAAAGTCAAACGTCTTACAATTTGGGATGGAGGGAGTACTATATATATACCTCCATCCCAAAGCAGAGGGTGCTCATGTTGCTGAGCATCTCCCATGGCGACATGACATGACGTGCCCACTGGTGGTTTTTGCGGAGGCCAATGCTTGCACTGAGGCCGCGCCCACATCCGCTTCACCGGCACCGCCGTGCGGCTCTGGCACCACATCCTCTGTTCTACTCTGCTCTTCTAGTTGCTATACTCCGCCGATCGATCACAACCACCAGCAAGAGCAAGCGTCACGAATCATGACCACCAGGATCGCTGTCAGCCTCTCCACCCGAGGGATTGCTGAATTCAACGGCCATTTTTGTACCACAAGTCCACAACAAGCAATCAATGCGGGAAGTGATATGATAAATAATAAAGGGCTAACTGCTGTTGCAAACTCATGAACAACACCGTGTGTTTTGGCCTGTGCAACGTACAATGAAGATCAGGAGCACTTGACTTTACATGACCGGTTACAAACCTCTGCAGAGAACGGTGACAAGTAAAGAGCAAACTTTGGTTCTTTACGCCGAGTACAAACTTGTATGTGTTGTTGGCAGTGTATTTTGGCATGTAACAATGTTCAGGTGTACTGAAGATGACAACTATGCAAAAGCTAATGTTGCAGGCTGGTTAACAAACTTGTTACTCTGGGATTGTAAATATATTCTGAATGTTCTGTGTCCAGAGCGAGGCAAAAAAAAAAAAAAAAAAAAAAAAAAAGCTAATGGTCCTGATGGAACTTAATGGCATTCAGACAACCAGTTGTGTGATATGTCCAAATCCTAGTGATTCAAAATTACATATACGTTATATATGGCAACTAAGATGTCACAGAACAACCAGTCACCAACAGTTCAGTCTCTGATGAATCTAGCTAGTACTCCAGAAACGAGGGGCAACAGCCAAACTCTTGACAAGGAATCGAGTATTCTAGTCTAGATTCATATTGGAGTAGATCATAAGGCAAAATGATCTCATCGTAATCAAGATGTATCTAAGTAAGAAAAAGACGCCCACCGTGAACTCTACAGCCAACAGCGCCCAATGGGAATCAAACGAGCTCCATGACAAATAAGCATTGCGTTGCCAATCATCGTGCCCCATTTCTTTGGATATTCCACATCACCCAACTGAGATATCACACAGGCATTAACATCCATCAACTGTATTTGATTTTTGAATAAACATGGCTGCAGAGATGAGTTAAAAGCTGAAAACAAAAGGATTGCAGAATCTCAGTATGCAACATCTTGTTATTACAGACTACATAATTAAAAATAAAAATGCAGCTTCAAAAGCAAAAATACGAGGATATCGCAGAGGCAAATTTCGGAGACTGCAGTTCACAAATACAGTAGTACAGTACTATAGTGCATATCACAAGCAGGGTCGTATGAAGAATGATGGATTATCTCACTACGCATCATAATCAGACAGCCAATTCAGATTCAACTGCATGGTGGACTGACGCCGCTGTCACTAGCAAGGTTTTCATTTTCGGAAATTAAAATTTATCGGGGGTCACAGATAAAGAGGATAAATAGGATATATCGGAAATATCGGATCAAATTCAAATAAAATTTAATTTGAATTTAAGTAAATTTAAATAAATTTAAACAAAATTTGTACGAAAAAAGATAGATATTTTCTTATCGGCACCTACAGATAAAAAGGATATATCGGAAATATCAGGAGATTTCGGCCGATAAAGGAAACCATGGTCACTAGCAGGAAGCAGAAATCCGATGCAGCAGCAGCACACAAGTGGGTATTTATTCGAGCAGAACCAGAATGGCATAAGAAGGTGATAGCGATCTGCGTGGCAGGTCGAGACGAGAAGGGTCGTTGCAGATAGAGTCAGGGGCTCAGGGCACAGGCATCTGGCACTAGGAGGCAGCATCAACTGGAACGGGTTGGATTTCGCTGGAAACAATGCAAGAAAAGAGACGAGTTGTAAGCATAAAACATGATGGTAATAAACTATATGTGCTTATGGCGAGCGGGCAGGAGCAGGACTGACCTGTCGTCGGTCGTTGTGATCACTTGGGAGCTCTCTTTGGTGTCATCAGGCTGAGGTTCGGTTGCTTCCTCTTCGACACCGGATCCGACGACATCTCCCAGGCCATGGTACTTTCGGTCCTCCTTCAGTCGCAGCACGGCCTTATTGGGATGTTGGTTGACTTCCGCTTGCAGCATATTAAATCCTGCCACCTTGCAGCCGCGACCAAGTGAAATCTCCTTGAGTCTTGGAAGGTGCTTGATACCAATAATCCCTGACTCTAGCTTCAGATATTCGATATGGATGCTTTCCACGAAGGGTGAGGCGTCTTCCTCAAATGTCACCTCTGTCAATCCCTCTGGTTGAGAAAGAACAAGTTTCCTGAGACCTGGGAATGCTCCAGTTCTGAATGTTAGTTTCTCCCCACTATATGCCCTTCTAAAAAGCTGAATGAGCATAAGGTTGGGCAGCGCCCGAAGTATCTCCAAGTCCTCTAGGTAGGTCCATTCTAAGTACACCTTGACCAACTGCCCAAGATCCCCAAACCAAGCGGGTGTAGTCCCTATCTTTCCAATCAACTTTAGGCTCCTTAGCAGCGGGGGAGGGGAGAGAGAAGAATCTAGCCACTTAAGTGTTCCAACACTAAGGTAACCAGAATCACTATCCACATAGATAGAACGAAGAGAGGCGAGCTTCTCAAGGGCTTTGCAAAAGGCCTCGCATTTTCCCTTTGCTGCCCATCTTGTCGCCACGCTTAATTTTATTAGTTGACTTAGTTCACCCAACTCTTCAATTGCTTTCATACTAGTGCCTCTGAGGTCCACAACCTCTAGGATCTGCAGTGCTTTTAGGTTGCCGATTCCTCTTGGCATCCGCACACCTGGTACTCGTAAATAAGAAAAAGAGCTAGAGAAGGCTAGATGTGCCTCAGCAATCATTTCATTGCGGTATTCAGAATCAACTTGGGGTGTGAACATTATGGGCAGGTGCAATATGTTGTTAAAACATTCCAACTTGTGCCTTGGGTTGAAATTATCCATAATATCTTTATATTTGCTACAGCGGAGGATTCGCAGACTCTGGAGTTTAGTGACCTCAGTTGCTAGTGCCGAAATACAACTGCCTCTTAGGTCCAGGACTTGTAAGCTCTGTAATTTTCCGATAGATCTAGGAAGTGCATAAATATTTGAATGACTATATCTTGGACCATCATACTGAGCATTCACATATTTCAAGTGGCGCAATAATCCTATGTTGTCTATGTCTTTTTGCGCAATTTTGAACTGTGCATCCTTCAGATCCAATGTTCTTAACATCCTCAACTCCGGTGAACAAAGTGAAGGTGCGGGCTTCATTGGTCTCTCACCAAAGGAAGTTAATGATCGGACACAGCTCCAATCCACTCCAACATTTGTGCAGCTCTTGCCATGGTATGCCACATGACGGAATTTCTCTCCAACTACTACTCCAGCTACATTGTCTTCTGTCAAGTAAACAAAATTCTCCTCTCTGGATATCGAGATTATTGTATCACGCACGATATCATGAACACGGCAGCTCTTAACAACTCCTTCTATATTCACTCTTGCTGGTAGAATCATGCTTCGGCTGATTAGCTGCTGAAAGTAACGTTCTCCAACTTCCTCAACTGTTACTCGACGCCTGGCAGTAACCAGCCCCTCTGCAATCCACCTATCTACCAGACGCCTCCTTTTAATTTCAAAGTCCTCAGGAAAAATGCTTAGGTATAGAAAGCATGGCTTGAGATAGGATGGCAAATGAAGAGAGCTGCTTATTAAATTTCTCCCACTCCTCTATCTTCTTACTAGCAAGGATGCCTCCTACTGTGAGAATAGCCAGTGGTAAACAACCACATTTTGTTGCCAACTGTTCTACTGTTGTCATCAAACCCTCACTCATGGTGGCTTTGGTATCTTTTTGTGCCTTCCTTAGAAGCAACTCATTGGCATCACCTATTTCTAGAGGTTGAAGATGGTAAACAAGAGAGTCATTAGAACTGCATGCCTTTGCTATAGCAGCATCACGTGTTGTAACTATGATCCGACTACCTTTGCTTTTGTTGCTTAGAGAAGCAAACTTATTAATCCAATAACATGCTTCAATGGTCCACAAGTCATCAAGAATAACAAAATACATTTTATCCTTTAGCCCTTGTGTGAGGTAGCTGGCAAGGTCATTTACATGCAATCCCTTTCCTTCAAGTTGTTTCAAGCATCTCTTCAATGATTCATCGCCCAACAGTTGCCTAATCATATCTTTCAGAAGCTCTATCTTCAAAAATGATTGTGATACAGTGACCCATGCACGGCATGTGAAGTTCTTTGCAATGTCTTCCTTGCTTTCATATATCTTCCTGGCAAGAGTAGTTTTACCCAAACCTCCCATGCCGACCACTGAGATCACACGTGCATGTCCATCATCGGCACGAACTTCTTGTATCATCTCAAGCAACTTCTTCTTGGGTTCATCAACGCCTACAAGCTGTGCTTCATCGATGTTGCTAGCCGAGTGGTTGCGAATATCTTCCAAGTAGGACTCTGTCTCGTCCATGGTGGTGTTGGATGCCTCTGTCTTGATTAAGTGGTAGCGTGTGTTCCTCTTGCTCACTTCTTCAACTCTTGCCTTGAGATTGCGGATCTGGACAGCAATCCGGTGACGGTCTTTCAGCTTCATCATCTGTTGTGACAGGCTTCGGCTTCCAACATGTACTGTGAACTCGTCAAGGCAATCCTCAATGTCATATGACAGATCTCGTACTTGCTTTGCCCAGACCTTCACCAGTTTATCTTTTTTCTTGGTTACTTCAGGGGCTACCAAGAACGCTTGCATAGTTTCTAGTTCATCTTTCATGAACCTGCCGGTCAAATTAGGTTCAAGAAGAAATGTATCATTTTCCAACTTTTGGAACTGTCACAACTTTTATATTACACTTAAAAATACATATTGATCACTCGGACAAATGCACAGGAACTGATTGGAGCGACTAGATGAAAACGTCGCTGCTGCTCGTGCGTTTCTGCATGCATGCGCCGGACCAGAGCTAGCTTGAGCAAGGGAACCTTGCTTGCCGCCCAAATGGCATGCATGGGGCAAGCTAAGGAAAAGTTTGCTGCTTGCTATTAGGACGAGACGACGAGTGAACTAGCTAGCTACCTTGCCAGAGGAGAGCAAAGCAAAGCTGTAGAGCCTGTTTGGAGGAACTCCGGCAGCTCCGCCTGACTGTAGCACCACTGTGGAGGAGCCGCCCGAGCCTCTAAATCACAGCTCCTCCGGCTCTGTTGGTTTCGCACTGCAATTTCGAGAGAGCCAGAGCCATAGTGGGAGCCGCTACAGTCACCAACAGTGTTTAACAGAGCCCGTGGAGCCATGCCCAACACTGCCTTATTTTGATTGCCTACGGATGCAAACTACAGTAGGTACTAGCCTCGCTTGCTAACACGCCCAATTTCTTCATTCAACCCAAGGAACAACTTAGCTATAGCCAGTGAAAGCCTGAAAGGTATATTAGAGCATCTCTGAGAGGCTCTCCATATCCTTCCTACATGCTAGGAATAGAGATTTTGATGAAAAACTATCATCCAACAGCTTTTCTAAATGATCATTCAAATATAGCCATCTTCTATTCCGGATTTTTCGTTAGCTAAAAATAGAAGATAAGAATGGCTCTATAGAGTGTGCATGAGATATAGAAAAATAGTTGGAGAGTGAAAAGATATAGAAAACGATTTTTATATAAAGGACTCTCTAAATGACGATTTAGAGAGTGAGATTCTCTTACTCGATCGAGAGTAACTAACGGATCGGAGACGAAGACGGATGGATCGTACATACGTACCAGATCTCCTTCTGCACCCCGATGAGCAGGCTCATCTCTTCCGAGGCAGCCGCGGCGGCCTTGCTGACGGCGCTCCCCAGCATGGACCTCGCCATGCTCAGCACCGTCTCCGACATCTCGCTCAATCTCGCCGGCCAGCCTCTTTCTGATCTTTCTCTACCAGCTGAGAGCTGACTAAGCTAGTAGAGGATCGGAAGAAGCTCGCAACAGGGGGCGGTGACTCGAGAGATCGAGATGCACTGGTCAAGTCATGTCTTGCCGTCTTGGTGGCTTTATTGTCTGTAGTTGTAAGTAGCAATTCAAGCACGTCCAATAATTGCCAGCGAATGGCCCCGGCCACCTGGCCTCCACACGAATAATGGCTGCCGTACCGATATTTTTGTATATCCACCGGCAGTGGCGGGGGCATATTTAAATTTGGTTGGTAGCTGGTGTGTTTCTAAACTCGTGTAATTCGCAACAAACTCTATGGTATGTTACTTCCTCCGTAAAAAAAACTATATTTTGTGATTCAAAAATTGTTCCAAAAAAACATGAAGTTTTAGCTCTTGAAACAATAGATTTTGTCATATCAACTTGAAATTATGATTTGCATGCCTCCATACATTCCTTTTAATGAGGGATTTATTCCTTAATTATCATAGTTTACCTTAAATAAATAGGGATACATGCGTAATTTTCTTTGAAATTTATCCTAAAATATAAGGAATTTGGGAAAAAAAGATATTGTTTACTAAATACAAATATGTTATTCAGTACTTGCATTTAGTAAATTAAATGAGGGGTACAATTAGTAAATTAAATGAGCGTTCATGCATTTTTGTACGTGGAAACTGGGAAGTCCACCCTTATTTTAATAGATTAGTAAATTATAAATGAGGGGTGCATGCATTTATTGCACTCTCCCTTATTTTGTCTGATAATGACTATATGTTTCAGGATTGAGGGAGTAGGTATAAATAAATGAATAAACAGTACATGTGTATAATTTATGCTAGCTAAAATTCTTTATCCGAGTTGTTATTGTAAATCAAGCGAGGATAATGGATTGGTTGTTATTGTAAATCATAAATCAAGTGGGGATAATGGATTGGTTGTTATTGTATAAATAAATAAATAGTACACGTGTATAATTTATGCTAGCTAAAATTCTTTTGTATACATAGCCATTTGCAATAGTACACGTGGTGGTATAATAATGTATATAGGCCCACTACCATCGATATAGGTCGAGGCTGGCGAAGATGAGGCACACCCGAGCTAGGGTATGTCATCAGATGTGGTGCTTAAGTAACCTAACGCGAGGAGATTAGACACTGACTTCTATGGGATACGATAGTCATTCTCTTGTTATTTCTTTGTAACTAACTAGGAACCGATGGCCGTCTATGTAACCCTACTCCCGGTGTATATAAAGCGGGGTAGGGAGCTCCCGATCTATACCTTCACAATACTCAGCAACCCCTTATAAACTCAAGCATGCGAGATAAAGATATCTACTCTAAACTGGACATAGGGTACCACATACCTAAACTAGCATAAATTTATGTCCCGTGTGCTACCCTTATGATTTCCCTATGTGCGATACGCTTTGCCGGGGTCGAAAACTAATATCATCTATACATAATTCATACTATTTACCCACAGTTGTAGCTGTAGGGTCACGGTTGCACACATTGAATCTAAAGTCAGTAAATAGTTGTATAGGTAATCTCTCGCCATCATGTCTGCAAATTGGTGCGCCGAGGGAACATGGAGGACACTGACATGGCCCATGATGACCTTTTCACAAGCGAAGTGGATGTCAATCTCGATATGCTTCATTCATCGATGATGAAGGGGGTTGGCCGTCATGTAGATAGCACTCATGTTGTCGCATGTAGACAATCCTTGTGATGGGATCGAGAGGTGGATCTCTAGAAAGACTTGCCGCAGCAAGCAGCACTCAGCAACACCCCTAAAGAAAGAAAGTGAATTCCAATCTACGTGAGTCACGAAAGAAGCTCTACGCGATACACAGACAGATAGAATAGCCGGAGTACGGTAAGAATGGACTGCTGCCATACTTATTTTTAAGACATTACGCTGCTCGCCAACATAGATCCTGCCCCTTCCTATTGAGAACTGTCTTTATAACTTTTTCTCATGCGGAATGAAGAGAAGTTTCGCGCTAGTTTCTCAATCCATTGCTTGTTTGGTTCGAGGTTGAGCTCGAAACCTACATTCCCTCCAGAACCACTCTTTCTTATACATTTTTTCGGTTGACTACGTGATACCGCGCTTCTGCGTTTGAGTGGGAGATTGTGGTCTGGCACTTAGAATAGACCAGCACACTAGGTTGTTGCCGAGGAAGATGCAAAAGTTAAAAGTGGAATGTCGCGACTCCTAGCAGTCAGTCCAGTCAGCGTTGGAGTATGCAGTTAGGGAGATAACTAGTCTAACACTAATGTGAAGGCTCACAGAGAGGATGCCCTTCACAAATCGGAGGATCTACTTGATCGACGCGAGATGAAGCTCGTGAAGATCATGCATGAACTGACAGACCAGCTGAATTGCCTACGACAAGTTTAGTCGCATCAGAATGAGGTGTTGGAGCGCACCAGTGAGGCTCTGGTACTCCGAGAGGTCACCATGGTGGCAACTTTGGAGGCCGACTGCACGTCCACTGGCATCACGATCGAGTGGCACTGATCCATCTCCTAGGACATTGAAGGATGTCAACAGCGTACTAGCTCTATGACAGGAAGAGGCCGTCGCTGGAGCACATCACTGAGATGCCAAGGAAGTGGTGCAGATCCCCAAGGTTGGTCATGGAGAACTAGTGATATGCATGAGTAGTGCCGAGGACGATGCCGTGAGGATGATGTCATTGACGTAGTAGAGCAGTAGGTAGGTGATATGGTATCCATCTATGCAAACAAAGAGAGACACATCCGACTTGGAAGAAATGAAACTGATGATGTAGATATCCTCGGCGAAGCACTAGTTCCAAGCTTGAGATACCATACATAGATTTCTGCAGGAGATAGACATAGTTAGGGGCGGTAGGGTCGACAAAGGTTGATGGATCTTGGCAGTATACGGTCTCCTCCAGATGGCTGTGAATAAAGGCATTCTTTTCGTCTTGCTGATGAATCGGTTGGCCAAATGGAGTATTCTTTCCCTACAAAAATGGTGGAATTCTCTAAGTGTTTCTAAGTAGTAGTAAAACACTACCACTAGTCATAGCACATGAGAATCCTCACTAAGAAGCATTTGGTAGGGAAAGTTTATACTAAATTTTGAATACTAAAACACTAGGAAAATCCCACCTCACTAGGAGAAGTAGAAAATTCTGGTTGTGTTTATACACCAAAGAATAGGGGCGGGAGCTAGGAATTTTGAATTTGAAAATTCAGAATGGGTGTTTGCTTAGCAAATGGCTTTTTATGTTACTGGGTGAGAATAGACTATGGCAAGATTTACCTAAGAGAAAATATTTACACAGTAAAGCCATTACTCATGTTAGTATGAAACCAGGAGACTCACAATTCTGGTCAGGTCCGATGCATATGAAAGACCAATTCTTGTTTTTTAACCTCAAGGTTTAAAATGAAAAGCAAGTTAGATTTTGGGTGGATCTCTAGAGTGTTAATAAATCTTTGATGTTGCCTTATCCTACTTTATATAGAATATAGAATTGTTGGACATAAAGTTGTGGATGATGTACTTGATTTGGTTCCTCTCAACGTTTCTTTACATAGAGCTTTAGTAGGGGATATATAACTTAGCAGCATGGTTGGATCTAGTTTCAAAAGTGCCACTGCTACTATATATCCATGTAGCAGAACCAGATGGACAATGACATCTGCGGTAACACACGGATCATATTTCATATCCTTCATGGAAGTCTCATTGTTGTGCAAGCAACACAACTTATGGCCTATTTAGTATGGCTCTCGCACCGGCTTCTCCATGGAGATGCGAGTTGTAACACCACCATAACGTACTGTGTGCCCTAGATGAATAAATCAATTTGCAAATAAATGCACCGTAAGAACAAACCGGCGATGAAACTAGCAATCACAGCCGGTTCGGCGGATGATGCGCGGTGGTCCGAACCATTGTGGTTTCCACCATCGGATCATCAGACGAGCCAACGGTGGTAGAGATTTCCACCGCCGGCTCTAACGGGCGTGGTGCATCCTTCCATCTTCAAACTAGTGGCGAAACTTCTTATCTCCGCCGGTTTGGATGTGTGTCACGCATTGCATGAGTAACCAGCGGTGCTAAATGGTTACACCGCCGGTTCGGCGCACGATGCGGTGGCGAAGACTGGCATTGTGTTTACTGCCAGATCATACACCGGGCCGGTGGTGAAAGTGTTTATCACCGTCGGTAGGTCACCCAGAAGGAACCCCTCAGGTCATAAACCGGCGGTGATTAAACTTTCTGTAGTAGTGACACTTGCCCCAAGTGCAGAGCTGCACTAAACGCCCTCGAGTGGAGAAGCGCTTCTTGACCAGCAAAACACGGAGCCAGAGCCGTTTTCGTGTATGGATACAGAGATGAGAAAAATGACTCCGCCCATGGGGTTCCGGCTCTGGCTGTTAAGCGCGCGTGGAGGAGCGCTGCCAAACGCGTTAGTTGAGCTAATTGTCGACGAAACCGCGTTCTGCTCACTAAAATTATTTTCTTATGTATCATGAAAAAAAGGAAACGTCGTATTCGTGTATCATTAATTACCACAGTCCCGTCGCCAGCTGCAGTCTGTATACTGGACCACGAACAATTAGACTTCTAGAGCGACCAAAAAATTTCTCTGTGTGCTCAAACAAAAAATTCCCACCACGAACAAAAAATTCAGACTTCTAGAGCGAAGACCCGGCTGGAGGCCGGTCCTCCATAGGGATTCTCCCCGAGCAAGGAAATTACAAGCTTCGCAGCAATCACCTGCCAGCAAAGCATAATAACGGCCTCATACCAGTCAAAGGTAGCTCAGCATACAAATCGGCCTCCCTATCGCCACCGGCTGCCAACAGCGCGCCGCGGCCTTGCGCAGCACCAGTCAACACAACCAAACGCCAACGCCTCCAAGCCGGCGGAGACGTACCAACAATGGCACCACCGCGCCGCG